CCACAAAATTCATGCAGACCCTAAAATATTCTTAACAGCCATAACAATATTGAGCAAAATAAAAAAGGTGGAGCCATTATAATAGTAACTTTGAAACATAATACAAAACTATAGTAACAAAAACAGCATGATACCAGGAGGCGGGACACCAAAGGGTCATAACAAAAACATATAATTCACTCATCTGGAGCTAACTAAGAGTGGCTGACCAATAAGAGCAAAGTAAGGCACCAACTAAAGTCAAGTCTCTTCAGTAAACGGTGCTGGAATGAAACTTCAACATCTATCTATAGGAAAATAAGTCTGGTGTGGTGTGGCTCAGACCTTTAATCCCAGCACAGAAGCAGGTTGACTTTTGTGAGTTCAAGGTCGGCCTGGTATACATAGTGAGTTGCTGGACAGCTAGAGCTACACAGTGAGACTCTGTAATAATAATAATAAATATAGGAGACTAAAACTAGACTTCAATCTCTTAATACATACAAAAATCAATCCAAATATATCACACTCTCTGGTGATTTGAATGAGAATGACCTCCAGAAGCTCCTATGTTTGTTGTTACTTGTTCCCAGTTAGTGGAACTGTTTGGGAAGGGTGAGAAGGACCAGGACCCTTGTTAGACAGGGTGTGGTCCTATGGGAAGAGGTATGCCACTGGGGGTGGGCACTGAGGTTTCAAATGTCCATGCTAGCCTCAGTCTCTCTGTCTGCTGCCTGATGATCAGGAGGTAAAGCTCTCAGCTACTTCTGCAGCACTATGGCCGCCTGCCACGACATTCCCTGCCATGATGATGGTAGACTAACCCTCTAAGACTATAAGCAGGCCCCAATTAAATGCTTTCTTCTGTAAGAGTTGCCTTGTCATGATGTCTCTTCCAAGCAATAGAACAGTAACTAAGAGGCACTCTTACGTGTAAAAGAAAACTACTAAAAGAAAACATAACAGACATGAACGTGCCATGGTGCACATGTAAAAATCAGAGACAACCTCAGGACCAGTTCTTCCCTTCTACCTTGTTTTCAAACAAGATGTCTTCATAGTAGCTGTTCACTGCTGCTCATTGCGCTCCTATTCTGTCACAGGAGCACTGAGAGTACAGAAGTACTGAGAGTACAGAAGTACACTACCATGACTTGCATACAGGGGTTCTAGAGAGTCAAACTCAGCCCTTAAGTTTTGTGTGGCATGTGTTTTACCCATCTAGCTACTTCACCAGCACAAAATTCTTTAGTTTTATTATTGATGTTGGTTTTTGAGACATAGTCTCATGCATCTCTGGCTGGCCTCAAACTCATTGTGTAGACAAATCCTGATACTCCTGCTTCTAGATTCCCTGACTGCTTAGAAAGCATGGGTCACCATACTCAGCCACCCAAAGGATTCATCCCATAATATGTAAGGGACTCAAACAACTCAACAGCAAAATATAATCATTAAAAATGGGCAAATTAACCTAAGGTCGTCCTGCACCGTGGGGTTATCTCTCAACTAGAAATCCCAGTCTCTGATGTTGTGGGACCCACAGTTCAATCTAGGACAGTGATCAGAGCATGCTGGTGTGCGGCTCTGGGCTGGCGACCAAGCGCCTGGTGGAATCGGGACCTCTTCCGTGGCTTAGCTGCTCCTTCATCACCTCCCCCTGAGGGGGGAGCAGCCTTACCAGGCCTCAGAGGAAGACAATGCAACCACTCCTGATGAGACCTAATAGACTAGGATCACAGGGAAGGAAAAGAAGACCTCCCCTATCAGTGGACTTGGGAAGGGGCATGCGTGCAAAAAAGGGGAGGAAGGGAGGGATTGGAAGGGGAGAAGGGAGAGAACCACAGGGGGGATACAAAGTAAATAAAGTGTAATAAAGAATTTTTAAAAAAGAAAAAAAAATAATACAGTGAAAATAAAAGGTCTTCATCTGTTAAGAAATTAAAAAAAAAATGGGCAAATAACCTGTGTAGACATATTTAAAAAACAATAGACAAACAGCAAACCAATGACAATAAGCTATCTTTTCGATCCTGTACAAAGGGCTACTAACAAAAAGATTTTAAAATGGCAAGTTCTAATGGGACTGTGACAAAGGGAAAACACTATTGTAAGAACAGTGTTAAACAGCAGAACCATCACAGAAAACAGGACAGAGGTTCTTGAAAAACTAGAAACAGAGCCTCTTACAATGGAAATCCCACACTGATGAATATCTCAAAGAAATAAAATCAGTATGCCAAGGCAACATCTGCATTCTTCTGTTTACTACAAAATATTCACGACTGCCCAAAAGGGAATCAATCCAAGTGTCCACAGATGGATGAATGGGTAGAGTGATCACCCAAGCTTGACAAGGACAAAAGGATGAGAAGACGATGGTTAATGGATGTAGGAGTTGAGGTGAATAGGTGGAATAACTGTTAATGTTCTATAGAACAGGTACAGTAACTATGACTTAAAACAACTGAAAAACAGAAGTGAGACTGTTTCCAGTACAAAGAAATAATAAATGTCTAAAGTGACACACAAGCCAGTTATTATGATCTGATCATAACATGTTATATACATGTGCTGAAATATCACAGTTATCTGATAAATACATACAATTACTATATGGCAGTTTAAAACATATATATTTAAAGACTATGATATTAGCATTACGATGCATATGTAGACCAATAGAACAAAACTGAGAAGGAAATAAACTTTTGCAATAATTAGTTGATTTTTTCAACAGATATAACAATTAAATACAAAAGACTAGTCTTTTCATCAAGGAGTTTAGTGATTACTGGATATCACAAGCAAAAGAATGAAACTGGATCCCATATCTCGTCCTATCCCAAAATTAATTTAAATTGAACAGAAGACCTAATTATAAGAGCAAGTATGAAAGTCTTAGAGGAAAACACAGGCATAAACCTTCATGATTTTGGGTTAGGCAATCCTTCATCAATAACACAAAGAAAGGCACAGTGGTACATACCTGCAATTTCAGCACTCGGGAGGCCAGCCTGGACTACATAGTAAGAACTGTCTTTAATTAAAAAAAAAAAAAAAAAAAAAAAAAAAAAGGATAAACAAATTCAATGATGCAAAGTTTAAACTTCTTTTTCAAACAGGTCTAACTATATAGTCCACGCTGGCCTGGAATTTGCAATATTCCTGTTTCCACCTCCTAAACTGTGGGCTTACAGGCAAGCATTACTACACCTAGCAAATTTTTTAAAGTTTATATATCAAAGCATACTATCAACAAAGTAGAAAGACAAGCCACAGAATTGATAAAGTATTACAGTCATATTATTTCATAAAGGTCTGCTAGTCAGAAGAAAAGCTTACATCTCAGCAATAAAAAAGACAAACCACCTAAAACATGGACATAGTATCTCAATAGGCATTTGTCCAAAGAATGTACACAAACAGCCAATAAGCACATGAAAACATGCTCGATGACACTGGCAAATGCAAATCAAAGTCACAATGAGGTATCACTTCACATCCACAAAATGGCTATAATTAAAAAAAAAAAAAAAGATAAGTGCTGGCAAGGATGAGGAGAAACTGGAATTCTCATGCATTGCTAGAGGTAACATGAAATAGTAGAGCCACTTTGGAAAACAGTGAGGCAGTTCCTCAAAAACAAGTTATATATGACCCAACAGTTCCACTCCTACATGTACACCCAAGAGAACTGAAAATGTATGTTCAGACAAAAAATTATACACAAATATCCATAGCAGCAATATTCATGGTAGCCAAAAAAGTAAAAACAACCTAAGCATCCATCAATTGTTGAATGAATAAATAAAATGTGGTATTTTTTTATAATGAAATATTATTCAGCCATAATGAGGTAGTAATACATGCTATGATATGAATGAACCTTGAATATATTATGCTAAATGAAAAGTCAGACACAAAAAATCACACAGCATATGCTTCCATTTGGAGGAAATATCTAGAATGGTATCTTTTTAAACAGAAAAGATTAGTGGTTGTCAGAGGTTAGAGACCCAAGGAGTATAGAGTGACTGTTCAGTGGGTATGTGGTTTCCTTTTAAAGAGGAATATTATACAATTTGTCACTTTTGCATAAAGATCTCTGAATTTCACTTTAAAGGGATAAGTTTATGATCAAAGAATTTCATTGCAACAAAAAAACAAATAAATATAAAAGAATCCCTATACCATCTGCTCTAACCATTAGCAGCCAGAATGATCCTTCTAAAGTACAAGTTCAATAATACAGTTACCGTTTTTATAGTCCTGAGATGGCTGCCCACTTGACTGGCATAAAAGTCAATGCTGTCACCTTAACCTACAAGAATGTATGTTTTCTGAGACAAGATCTCTCTGTATAGCTCTGGCCGGTCTGGAGCTTTGTACATCAGGCTAGTGTTGAACTCACAGAGATCTACCTGCCTCTACCTCTCCTCTCCGTGCTGATATTAAAAGAGTGCATCACCACACCCAGCTAACCTACTAGGTTTTACCGAATCTACTACTTTTCCTTTTCACCTATTACTCTACACCTATAAGCCAGCTTCCACTGGAATCACACTGGCCTCTTGACTTCTAGTTAACATGATCCTCTTCTCGGGGTGTTTCTTTCTGCCTAGAATACTTCCTCCATATGTATGCAAAACTGGTACTAAACTTCTTTCAAATGCCAACTCAAATGTCACTTAAAAAAAAAACAAAAAACCTTACATGGCCATTCTACTTAAATAGCACTCTTTTGTTTATTTTGTTTTCATCATAAAACTCACCATAATTTAACATAGTAAACATTAAAATAATATGGCTATTTATTTTCTGTCTTACTAAGCTATACTGTAAATTCCATGAAAAAGTTTTGATTTTGTTCATGATCATATTCTCACACTTTTAAGCAATATCTACAAACCAGCAGTTTCCTAAAAAAATTCATTCATTGAATGAATAAATGAAGCTAATAAAATGCAAAAAGAGAAACTCACAACTAAGGTGCTATCATATTAGTAGGAACCTCTCACCTGCTCCAGGTTAGGGTACTGCACACGGCAATAGCTGCAATACCCTTGTCTTTTCTGCATTGTGTCTAATCAGTCAGGAGGCTACTGGCCTCAAACAGTCAATCTGCAAAGGAAAAAAGCATTAAAAATAATGAGGATAATGATAATAAACAGTAATTCCTTATTTCTATTAGGAAAACAGCTCAGAATTATTCCTGTTTGTTTCTTGAGACAGGATTTCACTATAAACCTTAAGCTGACCTAGCATTAGAATTCACTATATACTCCAAAAGTAGCCTGGAAATCACAATTCTTTCGCCTTACTTCCTGAGTTTGGGAATAATAAGCATGCACCACCATGCTTAACTTTCACCAGTCCCGGTTCTATTGTTGAGGAAAATAATACAAAGCAGGCATGAGCTACTGAGTATCATTGAAAAGAGCAGTTTGCTGCCAATTATATGAAGATGATTAAGGTTGTTGTCAATTTTCTATAGCTCCAAGTTACTAGGAAATGATTCAGGATGGAAAAATAAAGCACTAGATTTCTAAAGACCATATTACTGCAGTATAATTTTTTCAAACACAACCACTTCCCTGCATTCTTATAACAAAACTCCAGGTTATGTGAACTTCTGGTATCTAATCATCTACCACGAGAGTGAAGACACCGAGATTTCTTCTCAGCTCAAAAGCTCCTGTTACAATTTATTAGCGTAGCTAAAGACAAAAGAGCAACTGAAGTGCCCTCTGAATCACAAAACTTTCCTAAAAACTGTACAAACCACAAACCTATAGGGAACTTTTCCTACTAGTACTTTTGAGATTTCTTGACCAATAAATGGTTTACTAAATTTTACCTACCTCAAACTATAAACCTTCCACAATATATCCAAGTTCAAAAGTCAAGCTGGATGCTAAAAATCATTCCCCAAATTCTGAATTCGTAGAACTGAGTTAGAGCCTAGATTCAGAATTTTTAAGATTCTCCACACTACTTAAAAGGAGGCTCCTGAGTAAGTCTCATACTGCAGATAGCTCTTCTGTACTTACGCTGTGCTTCCAAATGAAACCCTGTTGCTGCTTTGCAAAAAATAAATAAAAAAGCATTCCTCTCTGAAAGCCCTTCCACCCTCAGGAGCCCCTTCTTTCTTTTCTAAGTAAATCTACATTCACTCTGCTAAGAGAGATTGACTCCCTACATCATCTTGATACATAGCCAACTAATTTGTTGATGATATACACACAATTCCAGCTATACATACATAGTTACAGAGGTTTTTTTTTTTTTTAAATAAATTCAATGCTGGTTTGTTAAAACTGAAAATAGAATTGCAAATAAGTTTTTCAAGTTTCAATTCTAGTTATTTAAACATTTTTGTCTGTTGGAAAATATAGAACAGAATCATTGGATGTGTTGTGTTTAGAAAAAGAAAGTAGAAGCAGTCTTGATGTATTGTCCAGGCTACCTTTTAGCCCCTCTCCCCTCAACTTCTCAAGCACGGAATTACAGGCTTGCGCCACCAAGCCTGCCTCTGTGACAGCCGTATTTCTGAGTAAGGTTATTCCACGACGTGGAAGATTTAACTACGAAAACCAACGGTAAAAATGAAATTACAGCCTCAATAACTAATAAAGTGAGCCAGGTGTAGTGGCGCACGCCGCTAGGTCAGCATTCCATTATGACAGTCACTTACCTAGTACTCTTTTCTGAGAACCTCTGCCTTTCTGACTTCCCACATTTATAGGAAAAATAAATCAATTAAACCAGCATCTGAAATAATATATGTGAAGATTTAAAACTGGATCTCTTTCCCATTAATTCATCTCATTTATTAATTAAAAACCAGAGAGTAAGACAAAGCGAGTTATATTTGTAGATAAGACTATTTTTAGGCTACGTGAATTCTAGAACATAAAACTAAACTTTGAAAATTATAAAATAACAAACGTTTTAAACTTATTGAATATCTAATTAAAACATTCATTGAATGAAAGACAAAATGAGTGTAGCATCTCACACACACACAATCAGAGCCTCAGCCTAATTCCTAATGCACTATCACCTGTTGTCTCTTCACCTTTCATGCCACAGTGAGTTACAACAAATCAGAAGCATGTGCTGACATTCTTTAAATTTCACATTCTAGTACCTCACCTAAAACTTACCAAATCCAGTCCCTCTGGAGTAGGAAGACAACACGCACATATTACACAATTAAAAGAGTCAAGTTGATTCTAAGTCGACCCAATAACATCAGCCCATTTTTATGAACTAATAAAATTTTAATTATTAAAAGGACCATTTATCCAGGGTCTGGAATTATACTGCTTTGCATGAGTCAACCGGTCTTTTTATGTTGATTTTTAATTCTACTAGAACCTGACTGATTGATTGCTTATTTTTAAAAGTTAATGAGTTGATTACCGTGAGCAGAAAAAGGCAAGTATCTCATCAGCTGCATTAGTCTGGACAAGCATCTGTAAATAAAAATAAAACAACTGTTTAGACAGTAAATCTTACCTCTATAGTTGACTGAACAAGCACCCGCTAGTCATACTCCTAGTCATACTGGCATTTTAAAAGGAACACAATTATTTCCAGTAACAGAAGAAAATATTAAAAAAATCTGAACGCAAAGCACAGTACATACTACCATTCATTGAATAACACAACATAGCCTCCCCAAGGGTGTTCTGGAGCAGTGACCGCAGGCCCAACGAGGACCCAAGCACCTGACGCCCTGGCCTCCAGGAACAGGACTGTAAAAGAAGATGAGGCACGTACGTGCTGTGCCCGCCCAGCACCGAGTGCTCAGGTTATTAGGGGAAAACTGCCCCAAATCAAAATAAGCTTCTGGAGAAATCTCAAAGGAAAATACACATGCTAAACTGAATTTGGAACCAGGACCCAATTTTCAGCTACCATACTAGTTTTAGCAAATTCGCTGTATCAGTGGACAATCAAACAGAATGATCAAGTTTTTTTTTTAATTTCTTTTAATTATGGGTCAAATATTGACCTGTGCCTAGGATCACTTGTAAAGAAAAATTCCAACACTTTGTTTCAAAAAAACTGGTAAGAGCTTTTCTTTACTCAATGTGTGTTATCAGGCACCTGCCTGGCGCAAAATTCCGTCCTAGGAGCTTTAGGGAATAAACACAAGCTCTCCTGCCACTGAGGAGTGTAAAATGGAACTGGAAAATCAATGCACAAGTGTGAAGTGTATCTGAGAACTGACAAGGTAAAAATAGTAAGTGTAAGCCAAAGAGTAAAGCTGGTGGCATAGCATGCGAAAGGCTTGGGCAGGATCCACTGCTGCCAACAATAAAAACATGATAACGGCTTTAATTATCAACGTCAACTGAGAGATCTAGTGGTCAAGGATGTAAAAGTGGATACATTTTTTAACTAAATTTTGGAAATGAATAGAATTTACTTACAATAGGGTTAGGAAAAAAAATAGTCCAAGTAGCAAACAAACATAGGTATAAAAACCAAAAGGAATCAAGTACATTTGAAGATGGTAAATTAGTAAGTTCTGCTGAATCAGAGGTTTGATTTGAGAATTTAAGGGGCAGCAGAAGAGAAAAGGTAAGCTGCATTTGACATGGAAATATTCAAAAGCCAACCAAAAATAATTTAGACAGAGTAGGATTTTTTTTTTTACAAGAGGTATATTAGTGCTTTAAAGAAATTTTGTAAAAGGAAAGCACATGTTATTTTTCACTTAAAAATGACCTTTTTTAATGCAAAAAATGTTTCTGTTGCACAGTGGTAAAAACAAGTGTTTATAAAGAACATAAACACAAGCTGCAATCCTTCTTGCCATTTGTCACATATTACAGAAAGGGAATGATACTGGACATTCCAGTCTATCACCCTCTGCTTATGTTAAAACACAATATGATGAGCACCTTTTCACACCATTCCATATAATTCCAAAGTGGGATGTTTAAAGGCTGCTTAGTCTTTCATTTCTCTTGTGCAAAACAAAATTCCTCTTTTCCAAAAAGATAAGAACCAGCAGCTGAGAGCCAATAATTTTAAAAACACATACATACATAATCTTAACATTTTTAACTTAAGATGTATAATATATATGTATGTTTAAAATCAAGTTAGGCTTTTTTGCTTCGGTGTTTAGAGAATTTTGTCTTTGTGTGTGTGTGTGTGTGTGTGTGTGTGTGTGTGTACAAATTAACCTGTATTTCAAGCCATATTTTTTTTTCACAGACCATATGATTCACTCTCCCTTTTACCACTGTAAAACAGGACAAGAACCTAAACACATTTTCAAACCAAGAGCAGAATTATGATTGTTTTCCATCTTTCCCATCTCTTACAGACATCACACCCAGTTACGGCTTTTGAAAAAAAAAATTTTAAATCCTTGTTTAGTCCAAAGCAGTCAATTTATTTTCCATAAAAATTGTAATACTATTTTTTAGTGACAATGCTCACACTCATTTCACTGGTTTTTGTAACATCTAAAATTGTATAAACCAATCTAGGGCATTGAACAGACATATCTGAAATGCCTGGAATGCTGCTGCGGCTCCCTTTCTTTCTTTTCTTTTTTTGTAACAACGTATTTCTTGCACATCTGAGATGTGTGCTGGGCCAAGAAATAAACCAATAAAATTGTTGAAATGGTTTGGAATTATATTGTCTTTCAACTGACTGTGTCACTGTAATGAGAGCTAGCAAAATTCAGAATCCTCCTAGGAAATATTTCTCAACTGCTTGACAAACAACATCAACTTAATAAAAAAATAAATACATAAGAAAGACAATAGAAAGATATCTGCTTTTTAGACAAACAGATCTGAGCTGGCTCTAGCAGCACACACCTATAATCCCTGCATCTGGGGGACTGACACAGGAGGGTCATGAATTCACCGGCCACCTGGGCTACATAGGAAAACCCTGTCCCAAAGACAAAAAAAAAAAAAAATTAAAAAGTTAAACTTCAAGCAAACAAACCCCACAATCTAAATTACCTGTCTAGCAGTAGGAAATATGACAAGCAATCATAATCATAACAATGGCCAAGCTATATATTAAAAAGACCATTTTAATTCGGTGTTGGTTCCTTCATATAACACTATCAGATAATTTTCACCTTTGGGTTTTTTTTTTCCTTTTGGATTATCCATGCTATGCCGGCTTCCCGATGGCGACAAGCATCCTGGACACTTCCATTGGGTCCTAATAAGATAATAATAGCTAACCGTGAGCACTTAATCTGAGCCAGGCATGCTGTCAACAGCTTCAGATGCATTATCTTATCAAAAGATAGGAGGCAAACCGAGATTTAGAAGGAGGATGGATATTGTTCCAGGTCTCACACCAAAAACCAGGGTGGCTGGTGAATCTGAGCAAATGGGGCTTCAGCTCCTTAATGCCTATAAAACTTTTAAAAAATATTTTTAAGGAATAATTGAGAATAATTTTTAGAAATTATTGTTTTAATATTAGATGAAAGCAAATAATTAGCAACCAAATTTGATGCTATATACAATGTCACTATTCCCAAAATGAAAAACGATAAAATTAACATTTACTTTAAGCCCATCATTTTTCCCACTCTGAGTGTTGAAAGTACTTTAGTGACTTTAAGTTTATTTAGCATGAGACCATAGGAAACAATACAATTTTTATATTACAACCCAGTGCTCGAACGAGCTCGCGCGCGCGTGCGTACATACACACACACACACACACACACACACACACACACGCGCGCGCGCGCATGCACGCACATTTTTTTTTAAAGGTTTCACAAAACAATACCCTAGCAATGTACAGTACATTCTGGTATTTCCTATGTTTTCTTAATTCATTTTTCTTTAACGTTAGTCATGAATAACTAAAACAGTTTCACAACTGACTAACGGGGGCGAAATTGCAGTGTGAAAAACAGTGCCCCAAATTATTAGGAAGAGTAAACAATATTTTATAGAAAGTGGTTGCTACCCTGATTTCAGCTCTCTTCCAGCCAATAGGCTGGCTACTGCAGTGATACGTAATCAAATTTTCAACGAGTTTCTCGCTAGCCTCTTACGCTCAGGTTTCAGAGCTTACAGAAAAAGTCCTCGATGTAGTAAGTGAAAAGAACAGAAAATAAACACCCCTGCTGATGTAAAACACGCATGTTAAAGCAAATACACGAACTTAAACATTCTCAAAAAGGGGCCGATAATCTGAGATGGTTAATGGACTCTCTTCAGTGGATGAGATTTGCTCCAGGCTTTCTTCATGCCCCTCGCCGCCCCGCGGAGCGTACAACTGCAGCAAAGTACGCAAGAAAAAAACAAACAAAAAACACTAACATTTAGGGGACGAAAACCGTTCTAGTGCCTTGCGACCGGGCATCTCTTTGCTGTTCTTTCACGAGCTACCCAGAATTTGTCGTCCGAAAACCGTGGGACCTGGAAAGGGCCTTCTCGGGAGCGAGTAAGGGCGATGGCGTCTTTGACCAGCTCCACACAACTGTTGCACGACGGCAGCGAAGCGATCGTTAACACGCACACACTCACACGCCCCAGCATCGACGGTCTCCAGCAAAACTCCGCGGCGGCCAAGGCCGGGGACCGAGCGCGCGGGCAAAGCGGCCAAGGGGGCGTGTGGACAGGTGGCGCCCGAAGCCGCGCGGCCCGGCCCGCCCCGGCCTCGCCCGCGTCCCCGCCGCCCGGGGAGCCCACCTCCTCCCTCCGCGATGCCCCGCAGCCGCCCCGGAGCCCCGCGCCGAGAGGGCCGCCCGGGTCCGTCGCGGGCGAGCGCGGGAGCCCCGGCCAGCCGTCCACTCTGAACCCCCGGGCAGGAAGCGGGTTTCCCGGGCCGCGCGCCGCCCCGGCCCGCCCCGCCGCGGCACTCACCTCCGTGGAGGCCGCCTGCACTCCTTCCGGGCCGCTGCGGGCCGCCGCCGGCCTGGGCGCGCTGCCCGCCGCCTTGGTTCCGCCGCGCCGCGGGGACCCCCGAAGCGTCCCGAAGTCGCCGGGGCCCGGGGCCACGCCCGCCGAGAACGGAGGGAGCGGAGCCGGGCGGAGCGCGCGTGTCGCTCGACGCGGGCTCCGAGTCGCGACTGGGCTCGGGCTGGCACGGGCTGTTAAGGCACCGCAGCCCCACTGCAGCTCTGACGTCAGCGAAGGTGCGAACCCTGGGCCCCTTCTGACGCACGGCCCGGCGCCGCCCCCGGCCCCCGCGCCAGCCCCCGCCGCCGCCGCGAGCCCCTTCCTCCCGCTCTTAAAGCGCACACTTCCTGCGGACGCCGCCCCGCGCGGCCCCCACCGGAATCGGGGCTTGGGGCCGGGACCCGGAGTCCCAGCTTCAGCTTTTGGAGAGATAAGACCCTTAATGACCAGATGGAAAAATGGCTCTCAGTGCAACATGTGAATGCAGGCGGGGAGAACGGCGTTCAAGGGGTTAATCGAGCGCGCTCGGTTGCCCAGAGTCTGCAGCGAGGTGCCCCAACCAAGAGCTGCTTTTCAAAGACCCGTTTGCTCAGGGCTGGACGCTCTCTTAAGGTTGCTATCTCGCCCTGCGTTTCACTGCTGAAGAGTAACCGTAAAATGAATCCTATGAGCCCCCTTTAACAAAGGCGAAGACCAGGGCTCCTCTGAAGAGGCACGGTATTCAAAGCCTTACATTGCACAAAAAAGGATTACGAATATTAGCAAATATCTATTTGCCCTCAATTCCATTCACTGCTCTGTCTCCGACGAATGCAGTGGTGAGCAAAAAAAACCAAGCAATTTAAGTGCCGAGTGCCGTAGGGGGGGACACAAAACTAAATCAGACACACTACTGAACATATACTATAATCTGTGATAGAGAAAAATAATCATTACCTCAAAGTACGGACAGCCTCTAGAAGCTATCTTTATTTCTTTTTTTTCCTCTTTTCTTTGCAGACAGGGTGTCCACTAAGCAGCCCAGGTTGGCCTCAAACTCCTAATTCTCTTGCTTCGGCCTCCTGAGTGCAGAGAGTACAAGAACCGCTCAAGGCTAGGGAGCGATGCTTTGTGTAAAAATAATCTTTATGGCTTTAGAAGGAGCTGTTGGCATTGCCTTTCCAGAGACTCATCCCAGCCGCTCAACACACAACACGCGCCTAGCGAAACCCTGAGCTTTTCTCCCAGCTATTCTCTAGATTTCTTGTAAAACACCAAAACCCACAAATTTCTTTAAGAAATGTTTTACACATATCAGCCTTGGAATTATCAAAAAAAAAAAAAAAAAAAATCCAGACATACATTAAGGCCAGCCTTCCGGACATTATTGTATTTCAGCTTAAGCACACTTTTTTGTTTTTTAATTTTGTTTTTGTTTTCTTTTTTTTGTTTTTGTTTTTTTTACTCTCCCCACTTCTGAAATCAGAATGCGTCTTAAAAACTTGGGGCCTCTTGATTTTGTTGGCCAGGTGGCAGCATTGCTTCCCCACACAAAAGATGTGTGCAGCTGTTCAAAATCGTCCTCATTTCAAATGAGTAAACGGCATTGTTTAATGAAACCCACTACCCTACAAGGAAGGGAATTATTAGACATCAGAATCGTTCAAACTTGAAAACAACAGGAAAGCTTCTGTTAGCTCACACAGTGGGAGCAGAAACGCGCGCGTGTGCACACACAGGCACGCACACACACACACACACACACCACTTGCACAATAATAACCTTGAAAAGATTTTTTTTTCCCTGGGGGAAAGGATGATTTTTTTTCTTGAGGATTTTTCTAAAACCAAAAAACAGTTTCCCCAGCAGTTTGAAATGAGCGTTCAGGATGAGCTAAAAACTATTACCTTCATGCCGGTCCCCAGTTAACTCACCAAGAGTTATTAGTTCTCAGTGCTTTGGGGGACCTGTAACTGAAAAATGAAACAACAAGCCCAGCCCTGCAAGCTCCAGCACCCAGAAGGCAAGAGGATCTCATGTTTGAGGCCAGCCTGGGCTACACAGCTAGACCTTGACCTAAAAAAGACACACACGTACATACACGCACAAGGATAAATCTAATCCAGTGCCAAAACAAAAAGAAAAACCACCTTAAATAATTGTCATTTTTATCACTGACGGCCAAGCAGATCACTTACAATCCCCTTTAAACTTTAATCAGAAATACTGCGCAGAGACAACACGGCTTGGATATCACTTGAAATCATTGCCATCTACTCAGCTCAAGAAAGTGCCAGCATCGGAAATGGAGGGAGAGGCAGGGTTAGCTGCTTGAATGACTAACATCTTGTGCATCACCAGCAGTTTAAAACGCTTCAAATTTCTTATCGCTATGTTCTAGGAAGGGAGAGTACGCAAGCGTAGGCCTGCCAGGTACAGGGCTCCTGCCTCAAGGAGCCCACGTAGAGGTCAGAGGACTGGAATTGTCAGTCACATGCCTTCCTCGAATCATGGGTTCTAGGGCTTGAACTCGGGTCAAGTGTGCATGGCAAGATGCATCATCTGGCCTCTCACCAGCATTTATTTTTGCGTCGCAGAAGGATGTGCTGTATGGGAAAATCACAGCAATCAACAACTGACTCAAGATGTGATTCACAAAAATTAAGGTCTAAGTCTGAGAAAGTTGTTTTTTTTTTTTAACATCTTAATCACTTTTACTTCTCTTTCTTCTCTATATACCGATGTATGCACGATGTAGGAAGTCTGAAAGGGTGTTTTACATGTAGGAAAATAAAGTATCCTTGTGTTATGGGATGCACAGAAATTTTCTTCCTATATGATACTAACCAGCAGTGTTAGAGGAGGTTTCATTCTGCATCAGATTTGCAATTTATTCAGATCAAATTTCTATCTACTGATAATGAGTGGTGTTATCAGTAAGGTGAAGATCAAAAAGTTGTAAGCTCCCAGCTCCTTTTCAATCCATTCTAGAGTTCATACACAGCAAGAACTCATCCAAATGACCTTAGTCAACAGTCTGCTTACACCCGCCTCCTCCCCAGTCCACTTGGACCTGAGAGAACAGGGTCTTAAGTATATATTCTCTCAGATTCTCTTTCCTTAAATAAAAAGAAGGCTCATCTGTGTCAAGAAATCATTTCCACAGTGTCCACTTTCCAATTGTCATGTCAGCTAACATTAAGCTAATGCATTATGGGGGAAAGCTGTACAGGAAATCTGTAGTTCACTGCTGAACCATATTTAGACAGACAAGTGGGGGCGGTGGCGCACACCTGTGATCCCGGCACTCAGGGAGGCAGAGGCAGGCGGATCTCTGTGAGTTGGAGGCCAGCCAGGTCTACAAAGCCAGTCCAGAATAGCAAAGGATACACAGAGAAACCCTGACTCGAAAAACCAAAAACCAAAGCATTTAGACCATCGTTGACTTAGGGTTTTTTTTTTATCCACCCGCCCCCCAAAAAAATATCCATTATTATGTACTTTAGAATACTTATTCATAGTCAGTGAGGTCATTACAATGTTTTTTTTTTACACAATAGCCTGGATTTTACCACTTTAAAGAACGCACAGTGGGAACCAGGTATAGTAACACATACTTGTAATCCCAACAAGAGGATGAAGAGACCCTCGAGATGGTTCAGTAAATACACTTGGCGGCCAAGTCTGACAACCTGAGTCCCGTCTCCAGAACCCTCGCATGACGGGTGGAGGGAACTAACTCCACAAGCTGTTCTCTGATAAAATGTCTTCAAAGCGGTTGAGATGCCAGACGTGGTAAGGCATGCTTTTAATGCCAGCGCAGAAGGGGTGGAGGCAGGTGGGTTGCCTGAGGCCAGCCTGGTCAACACAGTGGGGGCACCATTCCAACAAAAGTGGCGCAGTAAAAACCCTTTGTCAAAAAGAAAATCAGAAAAGAGGCCTGAGGACCACCTGCTCGAGGGCAGCCTAGCTGTGTAGCACACGGAAAAAAAAAAAAAAAAAAGCAAGAACCTGGGCTTGAGAGTGGCATCACTAAAATCATCTTTAAGGGTTAATGATTCAATCACACTTCACATGCAAATCATAATTTGTGAAACTGAGATTGGTTACAAAACGTTTGCATTTTTTGCCCTGAGAAACATACAGAAATTCCATTTGGATGACAGAGAGCTGCCAGAGCTGCGGCTGGAAGCTGCTATTGCACAAACCCGGCACCGGCTGAAGTGCCGAGAGTAACTGGGACGGCAATATCCATCACCTGCTCTAAGGCTCAGGGCACATTTTGGGGAGGCGGGCAGAAAGAATGTGAGAGCCACAGGGTGGGAGATGTGCAGAGAAAAAAAAAAAAGGCTTCTGCTCTTGGCATAGCTGTTGCACTTATGAACTCCCCGGAGCTGTGACAATCCTTACAAAACCTGCACAAGCTGGGCCTGCCTACATTTAATCACGGATGGGAGAGGGGTCCAAGAGGCCAGACCCTTCCCCGAGGGACTATCCAGCGCTAATGGTTGGCGGGGGAGGAGGGCATC